TCAATATTTATGTAGGATTTTGTTCGTTATATTGACATAAAGTCAATTTGCTATTGACAAAGAGTCAATACGCAATTGACTTAAAAAATAGTCAATAATTGATGACAATTTCGTCTTTATAGTGAACAATATTGTCCAGGGTTACAAAGGAAATACTACATATTATTCCTGCTAAAAAAAAACTACGTAAGCAAGGGACAAAATGTCATTAAGGGGGCACACCAGTGAAAATCGTCAAATTTTTGCCTTCTTTTTTATTTTAACTTATTTTTCTGCTATTCATACCGAGTCGAATGCCGCAAACCCCACCCCTAAATTCCACTTACTTTGGCTTGTGCACACTTTTAAAGTTGCTAAAAAGGTAATTATTTTTGCAAATTTTAGACCAATTGTTGACGTTCAGGTTTTTCACTTGAACTTCAACTACAAAACCCTTGTACCATCCAAACGCAGTTAAAAAGAGGAACATTTTGGCGCAAACGGAACTAAAATACGTCATAAGACGCATTTATAATCCGAAAAAAAAACACGTCAATTCTATGTTTCCACTAAAAGAGCTTTTTCTCAAAACACCTTTTCTGTATCTTTGTGCCACTCTCACGGGCGCAAAAATTAAGATAACTGAATGCGGTTTGCGGCAAAGTGTTCCTTAAACTTGCGTCTATGGTCTGAACCTCGGAAATGGCCATCCCATAAATAGGACGTGAGCTGCAGCCATGAAAGCGCAAAAAAATAGGTTGAAAAATTTGTTTCTAATTTTGCCTTCTGAAAAAACAAATTCAAAATCATTCTTTTTGCATGCCCGTGGTTCAGACCATAGCCACATGTGTCCTGTTGAGAAATTTTCAAATCCCGTGCTCGAGGCTCAATCCAGAGAGGCGGAATCGTGGCAGGAGTGAAGCAAGGTCGCAGAAAAATAAAGTGCACTGGCGCTCCATCTTGCCATCGCCACATCGTCCTCCCATACTGATTTTCCTTTTCTTTGACATAATCTTGAGCCGAGAATAAAATATCAATCGAATACATTTGTTACTTTTCTCAAAATGATCGTTTTTCGAAACCTCTGCATTTTCACTGGTGTGCCCCCTTAATGGAGAGAAAAAAGTCAATACGAGTCTGAGAGTGTAGAAGGTGTATTCACCCGTACTCATGTACTCATGTGCACACCAGAACGCTAAGTGATTCACCCCTCCCTTCGGTCTTGCACTCGTTTCAATGTACTTCGGACACACCACGGTCCGATGTATCAATGCATTGCGTGCCAAACATATAGTATGCAAAGCGTTTGGAATCTGAGAGAAGTTTGACAATAGAAAGAAAGGGACGCACGCACTAAATTACTATCCAGTTATTTGTGCATAAGTCTTGCACGAAACGGTGCATGCGTTTCACAATTTCACGAACTTGTGCGCAACTGCGCACGAAAATGTGCATAGTTGCGCATGTTATTCGTGCATTTTGACGCACGCATGCACAGTTTCGTGCAGGAAAACCTACATAGTAATTAAGTATGCAATTCATCTGGAAACGACCGTGAGGTCGCTTCCCCAGCGTCTGATCGGCACTCCACCGGTACGCACCTAATAAACGCTGTTTCCTCTCGACCGGTCGGCGGATGACTTGTTGAGGCTGGCAGTCGGACGCGAGTTCTTGCAGCCGCCGATTTATATATCGCTCCCTCCCCTCCCGTATCTTCTCCGCCAGTGCCTCTACGGGGGCGTCAACCTCAGGCGCTTCCCTCTGCATCGCGACGCCTGGAAGCGCAAGCTGCCTTCACAGACTGAAATGTCTTGATCAATACCCAATTTTGGCCAAGGTATAATCTATCATCCGAATTTGGCTGAAAAAGGATGTATCAGCTTCGCATGCACTGTCGCTCACACTTTCACCAGAAATTTTTGTGATGAGACCGAGTTTGCGATTCCTACGATTTATTGCTCCCTGGAGTGCAATAATAAAGTTATTGCACTGTTTTGCAATAGCCACCCCCCTTATTTTTGTAATGAAAGAGCCTATTGAAGTACTAACATCCCAATTTTTTTGCCATAACTTTTTTATTGCAATTTTATGACAGTGGCCAGATAGTAGTATTGCTCAAATTAAGGTGGGAATGGTTTCCTCACTGAAATTTGGGTCCTCAAATATCAGTTGTGATTTAAGACTCTTATTCTCGGTCTTGACGAAGTGTACAATCTTACTCTTGACGCTCCTTCTGTCCGCCACACTTGGTGCAAGAGCGACAGGGAGAAGAAAATGCTCGTCGGGATCGGAATCCGGCGATATGGCTTCACAGAAAAGAAGATAAATCTACACTCTCATTCCAGGAGAGAGTGTGAAATCACGTTAAGACGAACGTGACAAAACGTCACGCTTCTTTGAACCATGTGGTGTCACGCGCGTTGGAATGCGAATAAGCTCATTGATGGCTGATTCACATCCAACCGTTGTTAGGAACATTTTTGTTCTAGTAACATAAATTTCGTAGGAGTGAAAAAGTCAATACCACAAAAAATCAATCGTTGTGGCAGCAAATTGGCGAACTCGATGTTGATCGTGCTAAACGAACCTGTCGGCCAAGACGATCGAATTCACTTCTGCAACGACCTATCCGCTCTTGTAACAAAATTTTCGTTCCTGCATTCTTATTCCAGGAACGTGGCATCACGTTGCACTGCAGGAAATAACCACAACAAAAGTGCACAAATTTCTGGCAAATTTTTTATCAGGGATTTAGTGTACTTTTCAAGTACAACAATTGTTGTACAAAGTACAATGGAACCGGCATGACGAGTGCTGTGCAGTCCAGGGCTCGTTATGGATTGTACAATTCTCGTTGTACTTTCTACAATCCCTGTTGTACTTTTATTGTACAGTTTTTGTTGTACTTTTGTTGTACTATCCACACTTTTTCTTGCAGTGTGTAATGAATGTGATAAAATAACACTTTTCTTTGAGCTTTGTGTCACATTCGTTTGAATGTGAATACTAATTCAAAGGGTGATACATCTCACCAATTTTCGGCGATACAAAATGTATCACCGTGTACGACCGTTGTTTCGGTGATACATGCGTGTACCATATGGCCGCACAATGCTCTAAGGAACGTAACACTTAACACATTCGTTTCAACGTGATGTCACGTTCCTGGAGTGAGAGTGTGGAACCAAAACATGGATACTTAGGCGAAAACTAACCGAAAAAACGGTTGGATTGACTGGTTATGTTTTCCTGTGTAGCAGAGACCAAACAAGTCAGCAGAGAAAAGGAATCCAGTCACGCAGCGCCGCCCATATAAAGACAGGAGAGGGAGGGACGACTGCCCGACACGAAGCACATAACATGATAAGTACACACAAGTAAAACCCCCTGTTTTCAAGCGTGTTGAAGCTTCACGTATACACTGCAAACCTAACTGTCTACTTAGCACGCACTTACAAATGCATGCTTGCAAAGTACACACTTACAAACGCATGCTTGGCCAAGCATGCACTTACAAATGCATGCTTGGCAAGTACACACTTACAAACGCCTATGCTTAGCATGGAGTTATACGGCGCCAAGCATGCGTTTGTAAGTGTGTACTTGCCAAGCATGCATTTGTAAGTGCATGCTTGGCCAAGCATGCGTTTGTAAGTGGGTACTTGCAAGCATGCATTTGTAAGTGCGTGCTAAGTAGACAGTTAGATTTGTAGTGTATACGTATCCGAACAAGCGGCCTTTCTCTCCCGGCGGTTTTCGGAACACAGAAACCGATTTTATGGGGTTCAGTGCTTGCTAAACAGGCCCCTGACGAACCCGGTGATAGCTTACAAAATCAGATTGTTTATGCTTTAGTACCGTTTGGTTTTTTGCGATAAACTGCAACTTTGCAACTTTTGCGCCATTGGTAGTGCTTTTGACACAAATTTTTTGCCATAACAAAGTATTGGAAAAAAAATAGCTATAATTTTTATATTGCCGATTATTTATTTGCAGAACATAGTGATACAGTTTCTTTTAATGTAAAATATACACAGTGGTTATTGCAGTTTGAATGAGGCTGGGCTGAAAGGGTCTATTGTGTACGTACGCGATTGCCAGCCCCGGTAGCCTGGATGGATCTTCGAAGTGCCCGCCCCCCTCCCCCTTTGAAAATCATGCATTCCTGGGCCGAGTTCTACCAGGTCCATAATCGGCAACGATGCTCAAAATCGAGTTTGATGAACCACGTGGCCGCAGGAGACGGAGCTGGCCGCACCTCTCTTTTCCTTGCGCTTCATACAAAAACATGTGCTGACGTCAAACGCGGTAGGTTCGGCATGGCCCTCTTTAGAAGAAACCTTGACCATCGCTAGGCGGCGAGCCAAACTGGTCCAGCGACGCACGTGCGTCAGGGACCACGTGCGCCATTATCAGTGGGCTGGGTTCACGTGAGACCCAGTGTTTACTTATTCCTCTTTCCTTCCTTCCTCTTACAAATTTATGATGGAGGGAAAAATCAAACTACAATAAAAAGTTGGTGTGATTGCGCGGAAATCGAATCTCCTCGCACAGAGCAATTCATATTCGTTTTAATTTTATATATTCGAGGTTTGCAGCGTAGATCAGCCAAAGCGATCTGCACAACAAGCAATTTTTCTTCACCAGGTTAGGAAGCGTCCGTTCAGTTCCCGAGTTTACGGAATCCCCGTGAGATCTGCCTCCAGCCGGCGGATCATTGGACCGTAAATGCCCTCCGAGTTGACCGGCACGAAAGGGCTGACGCCGTTGTAATTTGGGAGCACCTCGTAGGAGGACCGGGCAGACGGAGCCAAGGCGTTCCATGTGTCGAGGACGTCCTGGACAAGCAGAGCAAATTCGATTAAAGTAGGAAATATAGTTTAACACCTTCACGCCGGTGCGAGAAACATGCTCTCGTACGCTACAAGCCCGAATGCCGATGCGAGAACATGGTTCTCGTGTTTGCGATCCGTCACTGCCGGCACGAGAACATGGTTCTCGTGCCAAATTACATGCTAGAGACCTAAATTTTTAGCCGAAATGTTAGACATTTTACGTAGATTCCGAATATGGGATCGCATTTTCGGTACGAGTAACCCCAACTGATTTAGATGTCCTGAACGGTAACAGCTCACGACGAGAACCATGTTCTCGTATCGGCATTTGGTCTTTTCGCGTACGAGAACATGGTTCTCGCACCGGCGTGAAGGTGTACTACACTCTAAATGATGTACAGTGAAGATTCTCCATATTATGGTGGAAATGTTCCAGGTGGTGCAGCTGACTTCGTAACATACCATTGAGAATTCACTGTACCTTAAAGATATTTTGACGAATTTCGTTGGTATTATGAAGAAAGTCTCCACCATAATATGTTGGAGCAGCCTTTCACCGTAAGACATTTACTGTGACACTAGGTTTGTCGAAACCTCTTAAGAAGAATAGCAGGAAAACTGACTACACAAATAGGCAACCCTAGCCCGCCTCATACGCTTTTACCACTCGGGACTTTGGCTCGTGTGACCTTGACCCGCTGCCCCGATTCAAGGATCTTAAAAAGTAAAATTTTGTTGCCCTAGAAATCGAGGAATCCTATTCAAAAGATCTTATAAGGGCGTTCCCCCCAAGACAATCTTATCTTAAACGCTGGCGAATTTCACTCAGTTTGACCATTTCGGACGGGCACGAGAGTAAGCGGAATATATATCTGCACGCATTATTGGTTTCTTTGATCTTTTATCTTTACATTTCAGTGAATTCAATCAGAAATTATATTGATCACTGTAATTCAAAGGATGAGACATCTCACCTATATTCGGCGATACAAAATGTATCACCGAAAAAAAGGTCGTACACGAATGTATCGTGTCTCACCCCTCAAAGAGTGAGATGTATCACCAATTTATTTTCAGTGATTTGTAGCTGTCTCAAATGATCGAACTGAGTGAAATTTGCCTGCGTTTAAGGTCAGATTGTTTTGGGGGAACGCCCAAATAAGATCTTTTGAATAGGACCCCTCGAAATATATTTGTGGCAAAATGCTCCATTTTTGACCAAATTTTAAACAGAATCTGAAGAAAAGGCCCAAACTGCTGTTATTCCAGTCATAAAGTTAAACGTAAAATTCGTAAAATTTCGGTCGTTTCTCCCGAAGTCTCCCGAAGGAACTCGATCTGAATATTCTGGCGACTGAACCTTCAAAATAAATAGAAAGCGCCGCCACATTTCGAAATTTCGGCTCAGTATCGACTGTAAAAACAATTACTTCCATGTAAACTTTCTAGATTCATAGTGATTCTTGTGCCTATACTTCCAGACACTGTGATGGCGGTGCACACTAAATGTCATGGGACTTTTTTTGTCCCATGAATTATCCAATTTCAAGCACATCCGGTGGTGATGCAATTTTGTGTCCGCCAGGCGGGACAAATTGTCTAGTGAAAGTACAATTTGCAGCGGGCGTCGGACAAAATGTGTCGCCAGAGCGGAACAAAATTGCATCAGCGTCGGATGTGCTTCAAATAGACTATTCTAGTCGTGGCTGAGTGAAGAACAAGAAGAATCACAAAAGACGCTATTTAGGGCATTTAAAGTGAATATATTTGATGAAATATGTTGCATTTACTACACTCTAAAAAAATAATGAAATTTCATATCCAAAGGAGTCTAAAATTTCATAATTACGTTCTAAACCTCAATTTTTATAACCTTCGTATGAAATTTAAGATCGTGTAATGAAACCTAAGATTTGGGTTATGGATTTTAAGATTAACTGGTTATAAATTTTTAGAACAGAGTAACTTATAACTCCGGTTCTTAAAATCTAGATTTTCGCTTTGAAAGTTTATAACGCTTGCCGATTTAAGAGCAAGGTTCTGAAATTTTTAACCGTTTAGTCCTGCTCCCTAGTCCTTTATTCATGGTAAATTAATAAATAGGTGAAGTTTTCATTTTTATCGGCATGTGTTAACATTTTCCGAACCGCTCAGGTAGGAGTCCTACACTGACAAAAATTTTGTCGTAACTTAGCGACACATTTATCGCTAATTTTTTTTAGCGACAAGATTAGTTGTGGAACGAATAGCTTGTTAAACGGCAGAATGACTAAGGCGGCAAAGCTGCTCAGAGAAAAGTAAAGAAAAGCTCATGTGACGTCAAACTGTTAATAGAATTTGGCACTGGACGATTCGTTAAAGCCGGTTTAAACTTATTTTGTATCTTGATCTGCCCCATTATAGCATCTGGTTTAAGATAATTTTGACCTCTTCATTAAAACTTGAAATGGGTTTGTCTCTGAAAATCGCGGCAACTCAGAACTACTTATGTAGATGAGCCATGGTTTTGAATCCTTGCGAAATTTAAAGTGATGTTATTATGAAGCTGAAAATAAACGTAGCGCTCCAAAGCATTTTGGCATCGTCTATTGTTAAGTTACCTTGTAAAAGGTGAGCTGTGGGTAAGGGTATGGTCCACTGTCAGCCGCCTGACGTCAGGTTGCACAAACCTGCCGCTAGGTGGCGCTTGGAGCGCCGTGCCCGTTCACCAATAAGTATTTCCGATTTATGTTACGAAAGTAAATAATTTTTGATAGATATATCATCAGTTGCCTAAGTAAGTGTCAGCCCTAGCCGTTGGCTTTCAGTTTTAAACAAAATATTACACTTAAGTCGAGAAAAACGCTTGTCCAAGTTGCCACTCGCTGGCGACTGCGGTCGGCCATTAGGTTGGGTGCACGCAAGATCCGCTTTCTGATACAGAGTCCGGGAGTGGATTGAGATGTCTCTCAGGAGGAAGACGGCCTCTTGCAGAGATAGTTAGTAAGTCCTTCATTTTTTTTAAGTGCCTTCCCAATGGGAGTGACGCTGGCGCCACGTTCTCTCGGGAGAAGTCATTGCTGTCTGAGATTTCATCATTTGTAACATATTCGTGACGAAAGGGATGAAGGTTTTATTTACACATTTTGTGGGCAGTAATGAAACTATTATCATGTTTCATAATATTGGTTGTAGAGATTCATAACCAAATGTGAATTTTCAAAACACGTAGATTCTGAAAATTAATAAACTAGTTCTTACATTTCATAAACCACTTCTGAAAGTTAAGAACAGCAAGTTATGAAATTTAAGAACGTTTTGGATATGAAATTTAAGATCCATTGTTCTACAATTAACTTCAAATCCAGATTATGGAATTTAAGAAGCATTTTTTTTAGAGTGTAGAAAATATTTGAATTAACTTCTACCAAGCAAGGGGACTTAAGCATTTGAAGTAAAAGTGCAAAAAAGTACGCTTTTGTGATTCTTCTTGTTCTTCATTCAGCCACGACTAGAATAGTCTATTGCATAAATCGTGGGACAAAAAAAAAGTCCCATGACATTTAGTGTGTAGCGAACCTGCTGGTCACGTTCTGATCTCACCTGCGGTACGGTCACGGTGTCGCTGCCCAAGGCGTAGAAAGAGCATGGCACAGTTGTTGCAGCTATGTTAACATTTTCTGGGGTGGTTCGGTTATATCGCCTCATGTTCTCCGTCGGGCCGTAGTCGAAATACGCCATGTATTTGACTGCGTCAAACATTGACACCATGAGCCGCGAATAAGTTAATTATGTATTACCATTCTCCATGGAATCACAGAAAGATATGACTTCGGATAGGGAAACTCTAATACGTACTCTTGCCAACTTGTTGAAGATAATAGTTGAAGGCAGTAATCGATGTGCTATCAAGTGTGTTCCGAGCAATATAATAGAAAAACGGCTGAAACAAAGAAACTTCATTCCCAATACGACAAACTTACATGACATTTTGTTAGATTTTTTCCTTATCGTGTTCAGACAATGGGAAAGGGTTTCCGAGATCTCCCTGAGGCTAAACACATGAAGTTCTCCGCACGGTAAAAACGGTTCCTGGTTTTCCCAGGAACTTCCTGGAAATCGCCTATACCTTCACCATTGGCTTCCTGGGAAAACCAGGTTCCGTTTTTGCCGTGCGGGAATCAGGTTATCCAGTCAGAATTTTTTTTTTCGAAATCAGCATTGTTTTCTCGCCACATTAACTGGATAGTTGCAGTTTTTCGAACGAAAGGTTCGTGTGCACAAAATACTGTGATGTCTCGTACAAAATTTCACTTAGCATTTATTGTGTTATCACTGAGAATGAAAAAGTCATGATCAATACCCAATTGAGGGCGAGGTACATTTTATCACCCAAATTTGGGCGAGGATTGTTTCCTCCCTCATCCAAATTTGTGCGAGGAAACCTTTCTCACCCAAATTTGGGTGATAAAGAATTCCTCGCCCCAAAATTTTAGTTATGATTATGATTCTTACTTTCTCAGTGTATAGGGGCAATTTGCATTCGCCAACTCACGTAGTTGAGCTCCCTTGTCTGTCCGCCAAGAAGCTGGAAAAGGTAGTAGCACGTGATGGGAGAGATGCGGCCGCACAAGTTGTAAAACACCGAGTGCACCACTGGGTTCATGAGGGCAAATTCGTTGTGCAGTGTCAGTGCTCCAGCGGCCTGTTTCAAAATACATGACAGAAGGCACCGTCAACCGATTGCACTTTACATGTAGTACACAGGAAATTTCCTGGGTACACTGGCAAATCTACAGCGTAACTCTATGCTTGAGTCAAGCATAAAGTTACGCTTGAAGACGTTACGCTTGAAATCAAGCATAGACTAGAAATTCTCCCATGCATTTACATAGGGGGAATCTTGGCGGATAGGCCTTTTACGCTTGATTTCAAGCGTACACTGTGGCAAAAAGGTACGGAAAATTCTGTTAATTTTTTTGCCAGGATTCCCCGTAGCCCTCTTATCAATATTCTCCGTAGGATCTTACAGTATTCTCCGTAGGGCCGCACAGTATTCTCTGTAAGTCCGCACAGTCTTCTCCGTAGGACCTGGAGGACTGCTCTGCAAACTGAAATGTGTGCATGGCACGCTCTATTTGGAGCATGCCAAGAAGCACGCTTTAAATTGGAGCGTGCTTGGCAGGCACGCTCTAAATTGGAGTGTGCTTACCAGGCACGCTCTAAATTAAAGCGTGCCTGCCAGGCACGCTCTATTTTAAAGCGTGCTTAGCCAGCTCACTCTAAACCACAGCATGGACGGCAACCACACTCCTGAATGCTCGTAATGGCTTTTATTTTTTAATGATTTAAGAAATATGTACAAATGCAAGGTTTCCATTTTATATTTTAAAGAAGCAACATTTCAAGTCTTGTTAGTGCTGAGATGTGTCTTACGTCAACAAAGCTTCTCAGCTATTTTCACAACTATTGATGTACTTGTACAACGGGTTAGACCTGGAAGGTTTCTTTCAATAACCATAGAGGAAACAATTAAAACGTTTCTCATCCAGAAATACACATACAGTGTATGTTCGACAAGTCTTGAAATGTTGCTTTTTTAAAGTATAAAATGGAAACCTTGCATTTGTACATATTTCTTAAATCATTAAAAAAAAAAAGCCATTACGAGCATTCAGGAGTGTGGTTGCCGTCCATGCTGTAGTTTAGAGTGAGCTTGCTAAGCACGCTTTAAAATAGAGCGTGCCTGGCAGGCACGCTTTAATTTAGAGCGTGCCTGGCAGGCACGCTTTAATTTAGAGCGTGCCTGGTAAGCACACTCCAATTTAGAGCGTGCCTGCCAAGCACGCTCCAATTTAAAGCGTGCTTCTTGGCATGCTCCAAATAGAGCGTGCCATGCACACATTTCAGTTTGCAGAGTGTATAGTCCTACGGAGATCACTGTAAGGTCCTACGGAGAATACTGTGCGGTCCTACGGAAAATACTGTAAGAGCCTACGGAGAATATTGATAAGAGGGCTACGGAGAATTACCACAAGCTGTTTACAAAATTTTCCGTAGCTTTTTGCCACAGTGTAAACTGATTACGCTTGAAAACAGTAGGCAATACTACGCTTTAGTTTTACCAGTGTACTAATTAATACCTTTGTACAATTTTTGTTCGTGGTCTCACATAATTTTGCGCGTATGTGGTTAAAAATAATACAAAATTGTATAAGTACATTCAGTGAGCAGCACGTGATGGCGCAATGCATTATGACCACTCTACAGAAAAGCGAATATAGTATGCACTGCCTGGAGCATGCCTGCAAGCACGCTCTGGATCGCGCGTACCTGCCAGGCCATGAAAGTCATGTACGCAACCGCACTGAGAAAACCTTACAAACTATTTTGGGCCTTACAAAGAAAATTAGTTTGTATAACAAAGTATTTTGAGCATACGTAAGCTTACAAAGAAAATACTTCGTAATTCACGAACTATTTCTTCGTATAACAAAGTATTTTAGTTTGTTATATGTATGCTCAAAATACTTCGTAAGGTTTTAAGAGTGCGAAGCATACATCTAGTGCTTAGGAGTTGTCTGTTCAAGTTAGCGTGTGAACGACATGTTTCATGTAGTCCGTGCGCTAGCAGCCACTATGGCAAAAACGTACGGAAAATTCTGTTAATTGTTTTGCCAGGATTCTCCGTAGCCCTCTTATCACTCTACAAATCGTAAAGCGTCCATTGTACGCTCTACCTGGTGCATGCCCGCGAGCACGCTGCAGCTGACGCACGCCTGCTAAGTCTGCACTGACTAGTGCATATAGGCTACATACACTCTCAGACTCGTATTGAGTTTTTTCTCACCATTATTGACATTTTGTCCTTTGCTTACGTAGTTTTTTAAGCAGCAATAATATGTAGTATTTCCTTTGTAACCATGTACTATATTGTTCACTATAAAGACTAAATTGTCATCAATTATTTACTATTTTTTAAGTCAATTGCGTATTGACTCTTTGTCAGTAGCAAATTGACTTAAAGTCAATATAACGAACGAAATCTTACATAGATATTGACGAAATAGTACTTTTTATTGCTGTGTAAAATACTCTTTAACAAAGGACAAAAAGTCAATAACAGGCTGAGAGTGTAGGGTTTGTTAACCGAGATGCAGGAATGAGAGGCACGGGACTTCCAAGATTTGAATGTGCGGCTTTTCGGACGAAGTTTTGTAGGTACATTCAAGATGGCTCTAGAAGATGGGTTGCAGGTATGGTCCAGGTAGAGCATACAATGTACGCTTTTCGATTTGTAGAAGGGAGAATAATAACGTCTGCACAAAAACTGTTTTTCAAGAGATACAAAGTCAATACGAGTCTGTGTAGAGAAGACATCAAAGAAGTTCCACAGGAGAATAGTGTGCACGCTACAGTTATCCCAGTGGAGTGTCCCTGCCTAGCAACTTGCCTACCTAACATCTATGTTACGATGTTGACATGTAGTGTCATGCCAAACAAAGAATCTGAATACACTTAATTACTACGTATTTGTGTGCATATAACTTTTGCACAAAATTGAGAACGCGCGTAAAACGCACGAATTCGCGAGCGATAGGGAGTCAGACACCACAATTGTATTCATTCAGCGTCGAAAGTTTGGTGTGTGACGTGCATCTAGGTCAGACTAACCTTTTTTGTAAAAACAAAACAAAAAGTCTAGTCTGAGTTTGGACACTTTGCGATGGATCAGGCTGGGTGCAACTTATTAAAATGGGTACTATTTATACACCCATTAATGGGTTGGACCCAATTAAATGGCTGCATGAAAAGTGCCCATTTAAATGGGTTCAGCAAATGGGTTCTGTCTGCTTACGCACAAATAACTACATACAAAATTTGAGTGAACTTTCGGAAAAGTTCGACAAATTCCTTTTCCGTTACCGTGAGGACGTCGCGCAGGAGGGCGAGTGTGGCGAAGGCCGTGGAGCTGAGGCGGCCGAGGTAGCCGATGGGAGCGAGCAGGTAGGTGCTGGCCAGGAGGCGCTGGTAGCGCTGGCCGTGCACGTGGTTCATGAAGAGCAGCGCGGTGCCGGCCTGGTCCATGCCCATGTAGCGCAGCCTGGTGCTGTTGGTCTTCTCGGAGACGAACTTGAGCTGGGCCGGCAGGTCGATAGAGCCCCAGTGGTACGCGCTGCAGTGGGTCAAGCAGATTTCTAAAGCCGCACCACACTCGCAATACTCTGACAACCTCGGAAACTATTTCAGGCCTTAGGAAGAAAAGTAGCTTGTCATTACTTAGTATTTTTTTTAGAATACACAAATATACAAAGAAAATACTTCATCAGTTATGAACTACTTCTTCTGGTTACAAAGCGCAAACGATATAGTTTGTACCTTGCATATGCTCCTTGCAAACTGATCCAGGAAGCGGAAGAAGGGGGTAAGTCGAGTTGAAACCGTCCAATTTTGCAAGGCCTTAACCTTGCAGGTGGGAGAACAAGTGGGGAATGTCATCTAAAAATAGATGCAAGAGGATGGGACTTATCGCACCACACTTATTTTTGGACCAAATTTTCACTCATGTTTACGTGATAGACTGATAAGAGGTCACTGAATCAACTCGACTTAACCCCTTCTTCCGCTTCCTGGATCAACTAATGTACACAAAGAAAAGTAGCATGCTGGTATGGGTCATTCTACAGAAATGTTACAATTTGATGTCCCTGCCCCTTTGTGACGAAACGGTTTGTCCTAGAAAGACGCGGTTTGCGCGGTGAGATGGTGCTTTTTGTGCTTCAAAATGATCCACTATTGGGTTTGAAAGTTTCTGAGGTTTTCAGATGGCTGTGGCCTCCGGAAGGTGCAAAATGTAAACTCCGTGGCTGTCCCGATGCGTAGTTCACTAAGTTTGCGCCTCTCGTATGTCTAAACGAGACGCAGGACAATCATTCCCGACGGCTCTATTTGCTAAGGCACTTTTATACTTTAACTTAATCCCACTGACTTTAGTAAAAAGTTTGAAGCTTTGAGCCTGCACAGAATTAACTTTTGTCCCGAAGTTTTTACTTCCCTAAAATCCACATGTGCACTGTAACGAGTTTGGCACTACAGGAGACAAACGGGAAGTCACAGCCTCAATCTGAAGACTGCAATGGATTCCGGATGAAAAAACACATCTAGCCACCAAGTTTGAAGGATGTGAGTCCAATGGCTAGCATCTAATTGGTACCCAAATTTCAAAAAGGGGGTCGCGTATTTTTTTTGTATGTAAACTCCGTACCCGATTTGCCACGGATCCCCTGTGCGTCAAACTTTCGAATTGTGGATAAAAACAATGCTTTGGTGGTCCTTTAGTCAGCTGTGTATGCGCGTTCTACTGTTCCAACTCATACGGCTGCAATCCAGGTATTTGCTTCAAAATGTAAACTCCGTAGGCGTCAATTTATGTAAACTCCGTAGACATTTCCCCTATGATTTCAGTGGAGAAAAATTTTTTTCTCGAAAAGTGTGACGCTTGATATCGTTTCGCATTCTGCATGCCGAAACAAGAAAAACAAGCCCAATATGAATGAAATCGGACAACTTTTATTTTTTCACGGTTCTAACTGCGAAATTGTAACATTTCTGTAGAATGAGTCGTATGAGGTGTTTAGAGTATTCGTGAGCTTCTAAAGAAAATACAACGTGATTTACGAAGTTTTTTTAAGTAAATCAAACTAAAAATATTGTACCTTGCATATGCTCTACTTCGTCAGGTTTGAAGCCTGCCTCTTGGGCACACTTGTGACCCAATTATCCGTGTACGGTCTGGTAGGTTGTCACTAGCGAAAACAAAATAGTCGGATGTGCTTAAAATTGCATAACTCGTTGGACAAAATACTGTCCTAAGGCCTTTAGTGTGTATTGTTGAGTCAGTTCCTAAGAGTGGCCGTCTCCGTTTTCATGCGGAATACGTTCAAACACTTGTGGTGACACGCTGAGAATACCCTCACTGTGACAAAAAGCTACGGAAAATTCTGTTAACAGCTTGTGGTAATTCTCCGTAGCCCTCTTGCCCATATCCTCCGTAGGACCTTACAGTATTTTCCGTGGGCCCGTACAGCCTTCTCCGTAGGTTCTGGGAGACTGGAGTCTGTATAGTCCTACGGAGACGGAGAACACTGTAAGGTCCTGCGGAGAAGACTGAACGGGCCTAACGAGAATACTGTAAGAGATTGCGGAGAAAACTAATAAGGGGGCTACAGAAAGTCTTGGCAAAAAAATTGACAGAATTTTCCGTACCTTTTTGCCACAGTAATGTAAAGCACTATTGGTCAGAACTCACTAAAAGTCCCAGAATTCAGAGCTCGTGTCGCTCAGAAGCAAGTTTTCTCGTCCGAACAAATATCCTCGGAAAGTTATCAGCCAAACGTCGAAGCATCGCCGCGCCAGACGGTACACTGTAAGCAGAATCCTTAGCTTAGTTGAACCTCCCGGATTCTACCTGACATGAGACATGTAAGAGAAACATGCAAATTCCAACCTTTGAAGTTCAAATACTCCCGGTACGGAGTTCATTTATAAACGTCATCTGTATTTCGTGGGAACAGAACAAACCTAGACTGTTTTCCTTGATGTAAATAAAGGTAGCCGCATTGGATAGGATGCCGGGTGGGAGAACAACCACAGCGCGATACGAGGCGCACGTTCTGCTGCGAACTCGGAACACTCCAAGGACGTAGCCGTCAGATGTCGTCACGTTGTAGTTCTCACCGGCAAAGCCGAGCTTCTCCGCTTCCAAGTCCTGAAATGTGCGGCATTCGTCCAAAAACAGCGTCTCTTCCGGGGGATTTTCACATTCAAACAAATGTGACACTATGCCCAAAAGGTACGTGTCATTTTGTCATATTCGTTTCAACATAGATGTGAAGTTTAAAGGGAGCTTCAAGTCATACTAATGGAGATACAGGAGATATGCGAAGAAAGAGTCTGCCAACTGTTC